TGTAGGCCTAGTACAAGTCAAATTTTAATCCCATGAGTCATTACACGGTAATCAGATGGCCCAAAATTGACGCACCGTACAAAAAACATGTAGGGTATTAAGTGACAGTCAACTCACTCATCAACTTACTTGAACAGCAATAACTTTGTCCCCAACAGACACTTAACAATGATAAGCACATGAATCAAATCCCAGTAAAAAGACCTTTCTGGTCATGTGGGGGGTTATAGGGGGTTAACGAGTATTGAAAGGTATTAAGCACTGAATATCTAAAATTTCTTAAGAAAGGTACGATTATTTTGGCCRGAAAAATGTAGCCACGCCTATACGATWATGTTGTCATACCATTCAAAGAATGTTTGTGTGYCCTYATTCTTTCTGAACAAAAGAACAATGTACCTTACTTCCAAACTGCTTGTATCAATATCAGAATCTGTACACAATGAATGATTTCTCTGGCGTCTCACCTTCACTTAAACTATTGAAGAAAGCAGCCGTAGGGAACATGTGGCCAGATGAAATGGCTCCTTCACACCACTTGACAGTTAAACCATTGTAATTCATTTCTTCTTGGTTAAGCCACATGGACTTCTTGTTTCTGGCTCCTCTGGAGTGTGTTGTAGATGAAACTCTTAACCAGTTGTCCAGATTGGGAGCATCTGTAGCCACTCCATCAAAAAATAGGTTGAAGTCATGTCATAKTAGTTCAAGTGCTGAAATTCATGAATGGGTTTCATGGCATGACCAGCAGTAACCTTTTGCATTACTCTATGAGCAAGAGAGGAACCTTCGGGAAGAACAAGTGCCTTTTGTTTGTCATGGAATCCCTTGATAAAACTGGACACTAACACCAACAATATAGCAGCTTGTTACATAATAATYCCAATGGATGTACCTGCCATTTGCTGTCTACCCCCTTGCAAACTTGCACCAGATGGCTTGATGAGTGMTATTCCAGGTAGGAAACTCAATTAGCTGATGCACTTCTTAAGAGCATGACTGCAAATAGGTGTGGGTATTCCATTGGCATTGGATCCTTGTTTTTCTTCCATCTCTTGTTGACAAAGATTCCCAATATCATTTGAAGATCCTGCAGAGTGTCAACTTTCCCAGAATTCTGCAATACTCYATTGTTCAGACATGGAAGATTGCTGATTGGCACAAGTGTTGGCCTTCCTGTTTCAATGCCCTCATCACTTTTCAGTAGGAGAATCTTCTTCTCATTGTACTTCCTAATYCATCTTTGAAGAGTGTGATACTTTACAATACACTTTTTCCCTTTGCTCAACATCTGCATGAGAGGCTTGACTGAGTAATCAAATATTGGACTCTTTGTGTCGACCTACTAAGTAAACACTACCAATTGTTGCAAGCAGTATTGTGATCCTTCTACATAGAGTTTCTCATAATTCTCCTATCAGGTTAAAAAGCTATCAGCTGACTTTGTGCATGACCTTCTTCTTGGTCTCTTGAGCACCTGTTCAACCATAGACTTCCTCTTGTTGACCAACTTGACAGATGCCTAGCTAATGCCTCACTCACTCTCTCTCTCTCACACACACACTCTCTCTCTCTGATGACTCTCTGCCTGTTTTCTTCCGCAACTGTAGTAGACAGAAGGTCATTTGCCAGTCTGAAAGTTCCATCATACTTGGGTACTTGATCTTGGAGGTCAACCACTTTACCAACTCCCCTTGTCATCAATTTGATCTTAAGAGGTAGCTTCTTCAAGTCTGTTTTTTTCCAATGGGGGCAACAATGACAAGGACTTCATCCAGSAAGGAAGAAAGATTGTTGAGGATGGTCTTTCCTTCAATGGTACTCTGTATCTTGAGCTGCTATTATGTTCCCTTGGTTGGCATTGTTGTTGTTTAATTGATTCCCCAAGAACGGTTTTGCTAGGGCGATTATCTGATCAGCGTGTTGTTCCTTTGAATATGACTGTATGGCAAGCTCTTGAACTGTGGTTRTGGTCCAACACAGTGTGGGGGTGCAAATTCAATAAACATTATTCTGCCACCTAGCTGATTGTATGATCAAAATACTGGCATTGGTCTGCTTGTTGCTCCTTTGAATTGATGGATACTCAAATCTTCTTCACCWGTGTATGCTGATGATTTTGAGCTAAGGATGAGACGGTTTGGCCAGCTCTGGAACTATTTATGGTCCAAACATGTGTGGGATGCAAATCTAATCAAAAATATTCCACCACCAGGCTATCTGTATTTACATACTGTTGTCAAATCAAACTGCCTGGTTCATGCAACAATTTATTCCTGCCACTCAGGTGATAGGGATAATGTCTGAAAAAATTATGTTTGAATCTGATGCTTAGTTTGAGGTAGATCAGCTAGCTGTTACAATGGATGAATGTGTGTAATGGTTTTTGTTTGTGAAGAAAAAATTTAGAATTTGATGATGGCATTTTTGTGTGGGAACTTACTATGGAGCCAGCCTGAATTCAAAATTGATCCCCCCCACCCAATTCAATTTTTCCCTCCAGAAAATAAATATTTACTTTTGTCCTTGTGTGGCAGGTAGGGACATTACAATTTTAGGTAAAAAAGGTAGAAATAAAGTAGATTTTTAAAATAGAAAAAAGTAGCTTTAAAGTAGACTTTTGGTATGTGCATCTTGTATCATTTTATGTATGGGGGGACGACTTTGAAGTAGCTTTAAGGGTAAAAAATTAGATTTAAGGTAGAAATAAAGTAACTTAAAAGTCAATTTCTGGTMGGCAATAAATTGACAAATGCCATCTACTAGATGTGATAGTAATGAGGAAACTTGACTTCTTAGTAGGAGGAGGAATTGGTCCAGTAGCTTAGTAGAGTATCAGGTAATGTGCCATTTTGTAACGTCCCAGCAGAACCATTACTGGAAATTTACTGTCTGCTTTTCTCATTACTGGAATCCTACCAATTTTCTTAAATATAATTCACTTTACTGGAAATCTACTACCAAGTCCCTTCCCTTAAGTAATGCAACATTTACATTGGAATAAACTCATCAGTACGTACTAGTAGAGCACACTGTATAAAATAAAAAACAAGAATGGTAGTAGTAGAGTACACCTTACAAAGAAGAAGTACCACAATGTGTCACAGCATGCATGTCTAAGTGGATTGGTGGGAAAGTAAAGATTTCACTCACACCTGATCTGTATCTGGCTCCATACAATTAGTGAAAAAGCACATGCTACTAGGACACCAGGTACCACTTAKGGAAGAGAGGCAGTTGGTAGTTTTCCAGTAAAATGATGATAAACATGAGTCGTGTTATAAAAAATCTGGTAGATTTCCAGTGTAAATCATAGCGGCACTATTATTAGAAATGCTGAAGCTTCAAATGCAGACCCCTCCACACTGAAAATATTTTGAGTACCATCATATGTTTGTTATTGAGGACATCTTTCAAGTACTATTAGTATAAGTAGTACTAGTTGTACTAGCAGCAGTATTGAACTGTGATATAGCAACACTCTGCTGTGTGTGTCCTCACCTGCTTCTTTGTACCAATACTGTCATACTACTAGTACATTCATTCAGTTGTGGTGACAATACAACAGGAATAACTTCTTTGTGGCTTGTTTCTACTACTTCATAATAACTGGGGCATTATTTCCAAAAAGCCTGTATCCTTCTTGTTCTTGTTGCTGTTTATGATGGATTTCTCACTAGTGATATGCTTGTAGTAATCTCCTKGTAGCAGTTGCCAAAGTAGTAGGATTTTGGCCATTAGAACATTTAAGTAGTGACAAAATTGAATGTTGTTACTTGAGTGAAGGAGAGTGCCAATGACCATAGTAGTAAAATTCACACCACAAGAAGCCTATCAACAGCAATAAAGTTGGACTAGCTAGGTAGAAGTTAAAAGCACATACCTAGATCTTGATAAACCACAATCTCATAAAGAATCTTTGAGTACCACAACAACATCCATCAGAAGTTATCAGGAGAAGGTGTAGCACTACTAAACTATATTTAGTCTTGCAAAGCACTGTTGTTCTCACTACTGCTACTATTTGTGAGGSTAAATCACAAGTAGCTAGCGAATGAACTCACTCTTTATTGCAAACCATGTATTATTGTACACCAGAGAGCCTATCAGCATTTTGCAGGTTGTGAGCAACAACAGACTTACCTCAGCTCATCAAACCATCATCAACAACACAAAGTGACCYAAATAGTCTGATTTACTACTACCCCCATCCTCACTCATGGAGATCTGAACAACCACTGCTTCTTCACAAGCAGAGTATTTTCCTCCAGACAAATTTCTGAACTAGCATTTTGCACTAGTAGTAACAAGACCTGCACCACAGTGAGGAGTAAGGGAATATGCAGAACCACTGAACCGGGCATCAATTCTGTAAAAGGAAAGATGCTGGTGGTGGTACTATTCATTGTGCTCTGAATACAAAATTAGAAACTTTTTTGTATCACAAAGAGTGCTGCATGCCCTGAATCTCTGRTAGCAAAAGAGAACTTTCTTTACACCAAAACAACAATTTTGTCAAAAATCTGTTCATTGATACAATACTGCCCCTTGKAGTAGATAGATGGCCCTAGCCAATATAGTGCATCTCCTTGTTCATGAGGTTACAATTGATATGAAGATTTTTCTTTTGTTTATTAGTACAAGAGGAGATTGATCATCATGAAAGAACATCTAAAGGGAAGAAAGAAGGTGATCATCTCCTCTTCAATTGTCACTTCATTGATGATCATTGATGAAGGAACTCTTACAATCTTGATTTCAAATCATCTACTTCTAATTCGTAAATGTTGCTATTGTCTCAAAGTGCCATTCTCTTCTATCTATCACCAACATCTACAGAACATTTCAACCCAATGGTACAAGGGCGAAGGAGGGTGGTTGTATTATTTTCTCAACATATTCATAGCTATGTCTTAATTTTTTATGTGTATCTGAATTTTTGAAGTCTTTGCAAGTTTGTTTTGAACGAAATATTTACACCTCTCTCTCAAAAAAAATTACCATGAATGATTATCTGCCTTTTAGAGATTTAAACGTCATTCGATGTAAAGGACATGGTCCGTGTTCGTGAATTGCCTCKATGTGATCTTTAGTAGCGTAGCCCTTGTTTTGATCGAATCCATAACTAGGGTATGATTTATGCCATTCTTCGGTCATGCGATCAAGAGTAACCTTCGCAATTATGGAGGCCAATGCTACTGTGTAAACTTGTTGATCGGCCTTCACCATTGGTCGGCATGGAAAGGACKGAATGGTAGATAGCTTCGGCGCTTTCTTCCCATCTACAATCCCATAGCATCCACAGTTTYCCCATTCATCTGGTATTTCTATTTGGACATCCTCGTYGTCGTTGTTACCGCTTTTACCAGCATTTTGTTGAGATGAAAATATGTGCGGAAACAACTTGTCTCGAGTCAAGTCCTCGATCGATTCCCGAAACGCCTCCATCGAAGACGTGAGGATGTTGTTCGTCCTGTCGATTTCGGTATTAGATCGCTGAGCCACCGAAAAGGCGTACACCTGTGGATTGTTGACAATCGTCTCATAAATTTGTTCTCGATCCTCGGGAGATAGTTGTTTGCTGTCTTGGATAAGCTTGTTCTTGCTCCTGCTGCTWCYGTCGGGCAGAGGAAGAAGGTCAACTGTCGGTAAACACGAAGGATCGATCACTTCCCCGTTGTTCGATAGTGTGAGGATACAACAAGTTGCCGCAACAACGGGTCCTGCGATGCTTCCCCTTCCGCTCTCGTCGCTACCCAGAATGTAAGAATATCCCCGATCGGTGATCAGGGTCCGTTCGTAAGAGAGAATATCGTCTGTGTCAATTCTCGTCCTTTTGGGCGTGTTCCGCCCATATTTCCCCCAGCATTGTGTAGTGGTCCCCGTACTCAGTGGCTTCGCAATTTTTCGTCTTCGTGATGATGGGACAGTCCTTCTGGTCCGTTCACGATTTACGTGGCTGCCGTTCTCCGCCACGAAAGCAGAGGATAAACGAAGAAACAAACAAGTTACTAGCAAGCTTGCAGTCAATCGCATCATAGCCTCAGCGGAATTCATWTCAAGAGAACAGTGGTTGTCATAAGCCACTAGATGACAAAAATGGAACTTTGGTGTCCAATCTTCGAATGCTATGGGCGTCGTCGTCTGCAACGATGGTCTCTCCAACATCTGAGTTTCTGAATGAAAAATTCTTCATTTCATTGTGTCAATAACATACAGATTTAAATTACTTATTATCTGCTTTGGTTAACAAGTCATCTCGCGATAGCTCAGTTGGTAGAGCGGTGGACTGTAGAATGTCAGATTATCCATCGGTCACTGGTTCGATTCCGGTTCGCGAGATTTTTTGTTCGGGTGTCTCTTTTCTTTTGCTCTTTTCGACCCTTAAAGTAAGGTAACAAGCAAAGCAAATTAAACAATGARATAAAATTGTCAAGAGAGATCTATTTGTGCTTTTAAACTGTGGGTAGTTTATTTTCCCTGCGGCCACTAGTAAGTACTGCTACCACTTGAAATCATTTTTGTAACCAGCAGGAAAGAAGTGTAGTAGGAACAG